TAGTCATTTGTGCTTTGCTGTCCAGCGCCCAAAATCTACAAATACTGTAAAATAAATAAAGTACAAAACTATGCAGAAAGAGACACACACACGAACACACATACACACGCAAACACATTCACAAGAGGCCTAAAACAGCCAAATGGCAACACCTCTTGACTTCTTAATCTCGACCTGACACATTAGCAGATTCTGAAACTCCCAAATTACTTGTTGCATTGAAAAGTGTCTGAGAAGAGTTTAAATCTTTGGTTGATTTTTGTAGACAGTTGAAAATTCTTACTAAAATATTGTTAATTTTGCAAGGGATTTGGAAGAAAGAGTTGGACTGCCATGTTTTAACAAATCAACACTCTTGCCTTTTAAAGAATGGTAAACATGTTTCTTATGATCTTCAGATGACAGTCTCATCTTCATCAAAACATTCTTTTTCATCAAGTTTACTGAGTAAATCAATAGATGTTTAAGAAGGAATGAGTGTCAGTATTTTCATGCTAGAAATAAAACGTGATGGAAGGGATGTTGACATACTTAATTTGGGTTTGCTCTCTGGTTGTCACATTTTGGTTTAATATTCACATTATTATTAATAGGATTTTGAGAAGAGAAATAAGGCTTAAAGATGTGGATGTGATGCTGAATTACATGCCGAAAAATTGGAAGTTATCAATTTATGAGGAATTTTGCACTTACAGAGTTTGGAGTGTACGTGATCATTTTGCCTTTTTAGGAAAAAAAAAATACAACTCCAGACTTAAAACTGTAGATTGAAGAAATATGTTCACTCTCAGGTTTAGATTGGCTTTCTTTTGATGTAATGGAAAGAAGAATCAATATGACTCAGTGTGAACAAGTTTTAAGTTGTTGTTTAAGTATAATTGAGTTTTTACATACCTATTGTTGAGTCTTTGTATGTGTTTATACACAGAGGGAGAAGAATGCCCCAAAAGGTAATTATTACTAGTGGTGGTGGTGGTGGTGGTGGTCACACAGTCAGCCAGATGTTTAGACTGGATTTGGCATTTTTATCCACCTATTGAGACCTTCCCAAGGACCTGCAATAGGCAGATGTTGTTTGACGGTGTTAAAGGTATCATCACAGGATGTGAGCTTTTCCAAGTAAATGGACTGATGGTGATTTTGTCAATGCCGAT